TTCCAGTTTTAGCTGTTCCACATCAGTGAAGTAGGACCCAAAAGCTTTCTTCCATCTATATCATTAAGGTCAACTCTGCTTTGAGGAAACAGTATTTGCCCACTTGTATTTTGAATGTCTTCCAGCTTGAGAGACTCATTCTTCTGGCACCATATCAGACAATGTTTCCCTGCTATTCACTGTGTTTTCAGTGGCCACTTTTTTCATAAATGGACCTGGCCATTTCCTTCTTCCTAATCTGTCTTAATCTGGAAGCTCCATTTAAACCTGTCTGCTATGGGTGACCCTACTGATATTTGAAATACCAGTGGCATAGCTTCCAGCGTTACAGCAACACACAAGTCACCACAGTACAAACGACTAAAAGAGAAGTAGAAAGAAGTTTACGTGTGTTTTATTGATTATGTAGAGGCATTCAATTGTGTGGATCATGACAAATTATGGATAACATTGCAAAGAGTGGGAATTCCAAAACACTTACTTGTGCTCACGAGGAACCTGAACACAGACCAAGAAGCAGTTGTTTGAATAGTACAAGGGGATACTGCATAGTTTGAAATCAAAGAAGGTGTGTGTCAGCATTGTGTCCTTTCACCATACTTATTTAGCCTGTATTCTAAGCAAACAATCTGAGACATTGCAGTATATGAAGAAGAACTTGGCATCAGAATTGGAGGAAGAGTCATGAACATCCTGTGATATGCAGATAACATAAGTTAGCTTGCTTAAAGGGAAGACTCAAAGCACTTACATATGCATGTGAAAACTGGAAAATGAGTAAGAAAGACTGCAGAATAATTGATGCATTTGAATTATGGTATTGGCAAAAAATATTGAATATACTATGGACTGCCAGAAGAATGAAAAATTTATCTTGAAAGAAGTACAACCGGACTCCTCCTTAGAAGAATAATGGCCGGACTTTGTCTGTCATACTTTTGTATATCAGAGGGACCAGTCCTTAGAGAAAGATATCATACTTGATAAAGTAGAGGGTCACAAAGAGGAAGACACTCAGTGAGATGTTATTGACACAGTGGCTGCAACATATGGGCTCAAGCATACCAATGATTTTTAGAATTGGCACAGGACAGTGCAGTGTTTCATTCTGTTGTACATAAGATCACTACAAATTATATCTGACTTGATGCCATCAAACAACAACAACATCCAAGGGAATCTTGCAAGATGAAATACACAGAAATCAAACTGACTACCTATCTGTAAAGAGACAATATAGAAGTTCAATATCATCAGTCGAAACAATACTGGGGTTAACTCTGAAACAGATGATCATTTGTTCATATGAAAATTCAAGTAGAAAGAAAAGAAAATGAAAATAATTGCATGAGAACCAAAATATGACCTTGACTATATACCTCCTCAATTTAGAGACCATTTCAAGGATATGTTTGATGCACTAAAGACTAATGACCAAAGTCCAGAGGAGTACTAGGATGACATGAAGGACAACATAAATGAAGAAAGCAAAAGGTCATTATAAAGAAAGGAAAGAAAGACAGTCCAGAATTTGTCTCAGATTAGACTCTGAAATTTACTCTTGAATGTATAGTAACTAAAGCAAAGTAAATAAATAAATAAATAAAATGATGAAGTAAAAGATTGGAACAGAAGATTTCAAAAGATTGCTTGAGACAACAAAGTATTATAATGAAATGTGCAAAGACCTGGAGTTAGAGAACTAAAATGGAAGAGCATTCTTGGCATTTCTCAAGCTGAAACTGAAGAAAAAATTCAAGCTTCATGTTGCAATATTGAATATTCTATGGGCAAAATATTGAATGTCACAGGAAGCATAAAAGTAAGATTGAAGAATAACACAGAGTCACTGTACTAAAAGAATTGGTCAATGTTCAGCCATTTCAGGATGTAGCATATTATTAAGAACTTACCGTACTGAAGTAGGAAGTCCAAACTGCACTGAAGGTGTTGGTGAAGCATAAGACTCCAGGAATTCATGGAATACCTATTGAGGTGCCTCAACAAATGCATACAATGCTAGAAGCTCTCACATGTCTATGCCAAGACATTTGGAAGGCAGCTACTTGAAAAAATTGAAAGAGGTACATATTTATGCCATTCCAAAGAAGAGTTATCTAATGGAATGTGGAAATTATTGAACAATATCAATAAAATAATATTCAAGCAAAATTTTCCTGGAGATAATTTAAAAATTGCTACAGCCATACACCAACAAGGAGCTGCCATCAATTCAAGCTGAATTCAGAAGAGCAAGCGAATGAAATATATCATTATTAATAGGAAATGGATCTTGGGTGAAAACAGAGAAAGCTAGAAAAATATTTACCTTTGTTTTATCAACAATGCAAAGGCATTCGACTATGTGGATCATAACAAATTATGGATGACTTTGCTAAGAATGGGAATTCCAGACACTTAATTATGCTTGTGTAGAAACTGTTCCTAGACTGAACAGCAGTTGTTTGAACAGAACAAGAGGATACTGCATGGTTTAAAATCAGAAAAGCTGTGTGTCAGGGTTTTAATTGTTCACCATACTTATTTAATCTGTTTGCTCAACAAATAATCTGAGAAGCTGGACTATATGAAGAAGAATGAGTCATCAGGATTGGAGGAAGACTCACTAACAACCTGTGGTATGCAATGGCACAACCTTGCTTGCTTCTAGTAGACTAGAAGCACTTACTGATGAAAATCAAAGACTGCAGCCTTCAGTATTGATTACATCTCAATATAAAGAAATAAAAATATTTACTACTGAACCAATCAACATAAAGAAAATAAAAATCCTTATAAGTGAACCAATAAGGAACATCATGATAAGTGGAGAAAATATTGAAGTTGCCAAGAATCTCATTTTCCTTGAGTATGCAATCAATGCCCATGGAAGCAAAAGTCAAGAAATCAAATGACATATTGTTATTAGGCAATCTGCTGTAAAAGACCTCTTTAAAGTGTTATAAAACAAAAATGTCACTTAGAGGACGAAGGTGCTCCTGACCCAAGCTATGATATTTTCAGTTGCCTCATATGCATGCAAAAGCTGGGAAACAGAAAAGGAAGACTGAAGAATAATTGACACATTTGAATTATAGTGTTAGTGAAGAAAAATGAATATAACATGGACTTCCAGAATGATGAACAAGTATAAATCTGTCTTTGAAGAAGTACACCCAGAATGCTTCATAGAAGTGAGGATGGTGAGATTTCATTTCACTTACTTTGGACACATTATAAGAAGAGACCAATCACTGGAGAAGGTCATCATGTTTGGTAGATTGGAAGATTAGTGAAAAAGAGGAAGCTCTCAATGAGATGGGTTGATGCAATGGGTACAACAATGGGCTTAAACATACCTACTTTAGTGAAGATGGCAGAGAAAACTGGCAGCATTTTGTTCTGTTATGAATGGGATTCCTGTGAGTCAAAACTCATTTAATGGCAACTAACAACAACAATATACACCTCTCCTCACCTATGGACACAATTAGATTCCCAAGAACAAGTTGCTACAGAGAAATTGGCATTATATGAAAATGGAGGATGATCAAGTTCAGATCACAAAATGGAGAATGACTGCATCAATGCATAACAGTCAAATTATATCATTATATTGCTGCCAAATTACATCATTACATAACTGCCAAATTACATCATTACATAATTATTAAACCACTGAGAAACGTGGCCCAGCCAACTTGACACATGTCCTTAACGATCACAGCCAGTGTTACTCTAACTTCACAATTCAGCATTTGTTAGTTCCATATATATGTTGTCAATGTGCAAAATAGTCAGATAGTAAATTTTTTACCATGGTCATAACTGCAAAATGTTTGATAAGTAGATAGTTGGTAAGTGAGAAGTAGGTGTATAAATCAAACTATATAAACAGTAGTCATTTTCTCTAGGAAAATTATCTAAAGTTACGGGATGGAATTGTTTGAGTAGTTGTTTGCTTAAACTTTGGGGATGCAGATAGGAAGTTGCTACAACCATCATATTCATAAGGCGAATGGAGACATAATTTTGTGTCACCTCAGTACTAGATTCAGTGTGGTGATGAAGCTATAATAAACATTACCTTTCTAAGATGTTTACATATTTTAATTCAATTGTTTCTAGGCCTCTCACATTTTAAAATTCACTGAAATCATAATCTTACTAATCATCTCAGGGGAGATATGATATACTATTTAATTGAATATAGATAGTATACAATCTCCTAATTATATCTTATGCTACTGGATACCACTGTGAGTGGACTGAGTAACATTGGGCTCAAACTTAGAATAATCTATACATTCTTATATTACAAGAGCCTCTGGTCCTGGTAGGTTTTCTACGTGTATAGGTTATCTAATTCCCATTGAAAAAAATTTTAAGGTGGTATTTATGTATACTTACTGTGAAGATAATTTAAAAGAAAATCTAATTTTGCACCAAAGTAATTATTTTCAACATAGATAAGTCATGCCAATGAGGTAAAATAGCAATTTTTCATATTAATTTTTGCATTTGGAATTTTTTTTTTCTGGTGGTTTATGAGCATTGGCTGAGGATGGCAACAAATCTATGTTTGTTTTATTCTTGGTTCTACCGAATAACAATTAATAGGCGCATCTACACACTTCAGAGAGAAGCTTACACTGTTGCCACATCCTGGTGTTCCAGTAGGCAGGGTGCAGGATGCAAAGGTATTGTTAATGCTTAAGTATCATCTTGCTGTAATACCACATATTAAAATGTAGTAAGATATACTGAATTTATATTTATATAAAATACTAACATGTTAATTCATATTAGATTAAATATATAACTTAAATAAGGTTTTGTGAATTATATAATTTAATTAGTTTTAGTTTTTTTAATATATACATTGGATAGTGTACGATGAAAAACTTTCAGGAATAATCCATTTCAGTCACTAGTTTTTTTAATCATTTTATGACAAAGCTAGCTCATCTAGTTGTGGATATTCCATATTCATTTTACAGGCTTTGCAGAAGCTTCAACAATAATTGGATATGCTTTGGGTGTTACGTTAGGAGCATCACAAGATCTGGACACTGTCAATAGTACTTTTACAAAACAGTAAGCCATTTTTCTTTCCTTTTTAAAGTTGTTTTTTTTTACTATGGAGATATCAATCTGTATAAAATGTTTATTGGATAGCTACAGTAAGTTATAAATATTTCAAAAGCTATGTTTTACGTATGTATTGAGAAGTAGTACCAAGAGTGACTCCTCAGTTCTATACTGAGATGATAGACATAATGAAGGAGATATACTTTACCATCTCAGGAAAACGTCCACACTTAATTTCAGAAACTAGGTGCATATAAAATAATTGATAGAAATTGAGATCCAGAAGCCAACTAAGTCCTCTTATTCATTGTCATCAAACCAATTAGTTCAACAGATATTTATTGCCACATATACTGCCTGCCTTCTCTCTGGTAGCTTCCCTGAAAGATTAACTGGATTCTTGCTTTGCTACTGTGACAAATATCATGAAGGGGGACAGATTAAGTGTCAGAGAATAAATAAGCTGTGTGCTGGATATATGTTTTTGCTTCTCTAAATTCACTTTCCTTCCTTCTACACCCTTCTCTAGCCCTCCTCTTTGCTCTGGGATGCTGACCGGTGTTGACTGCTTCAACATATTTCCCTAAACTCTGAGTTTCAGTTGTGTTTAGGTAATGAGAGGCATTGAAAGAACATAGGGCAAGAGCCAATTAAGTCAGAACATTTATTCTCTTACCTCTTCTCCTATGGATCTGTACCCAGGTTAGCTGAACCCTTTTTCTGAAGGTCAGAGGCCCTGTGAAGCTGCCTTCCCATTTATTAAGCACTGTTTCAACTGATGTCCAGGCCTATGGTAACACCTTGCCACTGTTAGTAGCCCCAGAATTATGCACTATCCCTCTTTCATTTTTCTGAACTGTGCTCACAACCCAGAAAATAGTCCATTTGTAATACTCTTAAAATTATCTAGCATGAGTATACCATCTGTCTCCTGCCAAGAAAAGTAGTATTATAAGTGACAATAAGAAACAGACTTGATTGCTTACATATTTGTGAGTACAGATAACTTCCTTTTTGGGGAAATTGGACAGTTACTAAAATCATCATAGTTTGTGTTAAGGGAGGACAAGTCATTGAGAAATTATGTTAATTACAGCATTTAGTGGGAGTCCCTGCACAGTGCAAATGATTACCATGCTTGGGTACTAATTGAGACTGAGAGGTGTCTCAAAACAAAGTTCTGGCCATCTACTTCTGAAAAATCAACCACTGAAAACTCTATGGAACATAGTTTTAGTCTGACACACAGAAGGTCACCAGGAGTTGGAATCAACTCAACAACAGTTGGTTTATCATTTAATAACTTGATGACAAAAATGATTTTAAAGACTCTGGGTCATATTGCTTCTTTTGACAATACTAGAGAACATTCTTACATAGGGAAAAAAAAATATTGAGGCTTAAAGCAGTGGATTGTGTTGGATATCTTATGTGTGCTGTGAGAATTACACTCGTTACCCTTCTCTACCCTGCTTTGTATCCCTAGAGGTTAACCCTCAAGGACAACACCAATGAACTTCTTACCTTCTGGATTCTTTTCAGGTTTGACTTCTGTAGGGCACTAGCAAGCGATCTGAAGGCATGAGTAGTATGAGGTTGGGATATTTATCCTTCCTCCTAAATCTCCATGGTTGGCTTTACCTCTTTAATAAAGGCCACACCCCTCTACATTGATTGTCTTGATACTGCCCTCCAAATGGTTTACTTAAATTGTATCTCCTCTGTATCTTCTGACCTAGAGATTATAATGTTTCTTTAGTGTTGCTAAGTCCTCCTGTAGATTTCTCTAGATTCACCTCACAGCACATAAATAACACATTTTATTAAATTTCAGGAGCTTTGGTCCATAGTGCCTAAAGCATTTGACTGCTAACCAGAAGGCTGGCAGTTCAAACCCACCAGCCACTCCTTGGAAGGAAGGTTGGGCAATCTACTTCTGCAGTCAGATTGCCTCGGAAACCCAAAGAGGGGTCACTATGAGTCAGATCTGACTCCATGGCAGTGGTTGCATTTGCGTTTTATTAAATTGTATCCATAAATGATCAGAGTGAATGTATCATCAGAACCACAAATCATGTTGTCATGTGCTGTAGAGTCGGCTCTGACTCATAGCAACCTATGTACAAGAGAATGAAACACTGCCCGGTCCTGTGCCAGCCTTATGGTGCCTACTATACCTGAGCACATCAGTGTAGCCACTGTGTCAATCCATCTTGTTGAGGGCCTCCCCCTTTTCATTGGCCCTCCACTTTACCAAGCATGACATTATTTTCCAGAGAATGGTCCCTTCTGATCACATGACCCAAGTAGGTGAAATGAAGTCTGGTCAATCTTGCTTCAAAGGGGCATTCCAGATACACTTTTCCAGGACAGATATGTTAGTTCTTTTAGCAGTCCATGGTACTTTCATCATTCTTCACCAACACTACAACTCAGAAGCATCAACTCTATTTTGATCTTCCTTATTGGTTGTCCAGCTCTCACATGCATATGAGGCAGTTGAAAATACCATGGCTTGGGTTAGGTGCATCTCAGTCTTCAAGGAGTTGTCTTTGCACTTCAGCACTTGAAAGAGGTCTTTTGCAACAGATTTGCCCAATGCAATATGTCATCTGGTGTCTTGACTGCAGCTTCCATTGGCATTGATTGTAGAACCAGGTAATATGAAGTCTTTGACAACTTTGATCTTTTCTCCATTCATTGTGATGCTGCTTATCAGTCCAGTTGTGTTGATTTTTGTTTTCTTTATATTGATGTGTAATCTATACTGCAGACTGTGGTCTTTAATCTTCATCAGTAAGTGCTCCAAGTCGTCCTCACTTTCAGTAAGGAAAGTTATGTTATCTGCATATCTCAGGTTGTTAATGAGCCTTTCTCCAATCCTGATGCCACGTTCTTCTTTATATAGTCTAGCTTCTCAGATTATTTTCTTAGCATACAGATCGAATAAATATGGTGAAAGGATACAACCCTGACACACTCCCTACCTGATTTTAAACCTGCAGTATCCCCTTCTTCTGTTCAAATGACAGCCACCTGGTCTATGTACAGTTTCCTCAAGAGAACAATTAAGTATTATGAAATGCTCATTCTTTCCAATGTCATCCACAATTTTTTATGATCCACACAAACAAATGCCTTTGTATAGTCAATAAAACACAAGTAAACATCTTTCTTGTATTCTTTGCTTTGAGACAAGATCCATCTGACATCTGCTATGATATCCACTACTCCACATTTCCTTCAGAAACTAGCTTGCATTTCTGAAAGCTCTCTGTCAATATACTGCTGCAATCATTTTTGAATTATGTTCAGCAAGATTTTACTTGTGTGTGATATCAATGATATTGTTCTATAATTTTCATATTCTGTGGGATCACCTTTCTTTGGAAGGTCCAAATATGGATCTCTTCCAGTCAGTTGGCCAGGTAGCTAGCTGACTTCCACATCAGTTGGTATAGCTGAGCAAATGCCTCCAGTGTGGCATCCATTTGTTTAAACATCTCAGTGGGTATTCCATCAATTCCTGGAGCCTCGTATTTTCCCAATTCCTTCAGTGCAACTTCAACTTCTTCCTTCAATAACATTGGTTCTTAGATTCAAAAGGGAGTCTCATCAGTAATCACCATGCCATTTCCCTCTGGCATCTTAGTGCTTGAAAAACTAGGTACAGCAGTTTGAATTAGGGATTTTGGTGCTTTGAACAGCTCACTGAATCAGAGTGCACCAGACACAGAAAAGCAGAATTAGAGGAAAGGTACAGGGAAAGAAATTAAAGATCTACCCTGTGGATTATGGACAGGCAGCCGAGCAAGGCCATTAGAGACTTCCCTGGGGGAGCGACCAGCAGGTGAGAATGGCCATTTGAGACCTCCCTGGGTCAAGGCAGAAGATACTCCATATCAGCATACCGGTAACCACACCAGCATACCAGCGATCATCCCAAGGATCTACCTTCAGAACCTGATTTGATTGGTAACTTGGGTCAGCTAGGTGCAAACAGGCACAGCCAGCACCACTGAAACCCAAGCAGAGAGCCCATTGGTGCTCGAGGAGGGTGGTGGGCTCACTACCCCCTCGGTGGGTCACTGAATAGGCTTGGGTCAGCATAGTGGCACTGAGAGGTCTGTGCTTGACTTTATCGCTAATATTGGGACCACAGATTACTAGTAGGCACTCTCCTGACTCAAGCACAGCTGAAACGAATTGCATCTTTGGTGCCACGGGTGGGCAGACTCACAGACAAACTCCCTAGCCTACTGCAGTCTGGGTGGGTTGGGCTGGCACTGCAGGCAGGTGGGGAGGAGAGAGAAACACCCATGGCCAAATGCAGAGCTGGGAAGTTGCCTTGGTCTGGTGTTTTGGTGCCGAGGGGCCTTGGGATTGGGGCCTTTGCATGTGTCTGAGTCTGGCGGAAAGTGGTCACCCTTTAACAACTGGAGTCTTTCCTGAAATTGAGCCAAGTGCCTGTAAGTAAATAACAGTATGATGTCATCAGTAGCAGCCCACTAAAAGCCCTAGAAACTGACTCTTAACAACAGCAAGCTTTCCTTTTTCCACTCCCACATTCTCTGCCAAGAGCTTCACTTATCCAGTAGAAGAAACCACATTCAGCCAACATAAAACCTCCTGGTTCCAACTGCAAACCCTCTTTATAACAAACAGAAACCCATATCCACATTCCACACAGTGATTCCACCATCACAAAGAAAACTGCAGAGCAATCCAACATACCTGAATTAATAATAAAATAAAATACACCAGCTTCACATTTTCAAAATATTAAACCATAAAACCAAGACGAAACAAATCAACACATATCCAACTGTTATAGACAACCTCAGAATGTCTAGGAAACAACAGGCAATCTCAAATCAAACAAAAAAGCAGGACAAGGCATTAGAAGCAAAACCACAGACAAAGGTCTCATTATACATGGAGGAAGAGGAGGCAATAGAATTACCTGAGGAAGAATTTAGAAGATATGTTTATAGAGCTATACAAAA